ATTTTGGGTATAAAATTTTTGAGTGGTTACCAATTAAAATTATCCTAAATCATATCTTTTTATTGTCTGAATTTTTGTTTTTTTTTTCATTTCCGATAATTTCTGACTGTTTCTAAATATTTAAAACATAATTTTACATAACAATACACATCATTAATATGACACATTGGAACACACCACTAACTAATTTAAAATATGGTAAAATTACAAATGATCACTAAACTATGATAAAATGATATTTTTAGTCATTTAACCTTTTAAAAGTTATAAAATAAATATTAAACTTTAGATTTTGTTAAAAACATAAGTATCAATCATTAATTATCATTAAGGAATATTTAAATTAATAAAAATATATTCTTTAGTCCCTCAATTATATTAAAATTTTCTTTTGATATTTTTTTGCAATAATTCCAAGTGAGAATTTTAAAATAAATTAAAGATTCCTATTTTTTAAAAAGTATATTGAATATCAAAATTTATTTTTTAAATTATAAATACATTTTAAAGTTATATTTCAACTTATTATTGTGTTGGTATTGTGTTTCAGTATGTTGCATTAATAGTGTGTTTCGTTGTGCGACATTCACTATAGAGCCTAACTATTTGGACTTTTGATTATTTTTTCTAATTTTGACAACACTCGTTTCTGACAGTTTCTATATGTTTAAAATATAATTTTATACTAATAATAATTCTGGACATGAATTATATTAACTGCTTGTGTGTATTGATATATATTTTTTAAAATATTATGAGATGGTTTTAAAGTAGCATAAGTTCATATTTTTCTTAATTATTTATAATACATGTGTTCTATAAATATAATTATCCGAATTCAAGACTTAAAAAAAATAACGTTACCTTTTACCCCTTTAAATTTATCCACATAAAAGAGTTTTTGCTCATTTCAATACACAACAAAAAAGCATCTCGCAATTTCCTACCCTCTTTCTTTTTTTTATATATACACGAATTCATTTTTAATTTTTGGACATTTTTTCTATCACAGCTTTATAAAATAGAAAATTATTTTAAAGTCAAAATTTGACTATTCATTCGAGTTAAATCAAATAACTTAAATCAAATAATACAAAATTAAAAGAAAAAATTAGATCAAATAAAACTTTGTTCAACTCTAATAAAAGATGATTTGTTGAGCGGCTTAGGGTTTTTTTCTCTTTTACGTTCAATCGCGTTGGTTCTTTTATTTATATTCAATTGAATACAACAACACTAATTTTAATGTTGATTTTCGTTATAAATATTTATTGTTTTCCCTTCATTTTCTTATACTATATCTTTTATTTTTTAAAATTTTTAATAACTCTACTTTTATGACACGTTTTTCTCTACCTTTATGACATATTTTTCTCTATCTCTTGACATGTTTTTCGGTTGTTTAGGCGTTGTTTTTATTTATTTTTTCTCAGGGTTGGATTCAACATTTGTCATGACTGATCGAGATGACGCTTATTTGTTATCATGTTGATCTTCATTGCTTTGGACACTAAGATTGAATTTGGGTACACGATTTACGTTCATAGATTGTTTTCTCACATCGCTTGACTATGACTTGCGATTTGTATACGGTCTTTCAGTAGCTTCATCTCCTTTTTATTGTTCGTTTATCGATACCGTCAGATATATTTGTATATGTCTTTTATTTGAGTTTTTGATTAGTTTTTTTTAACATTTTCCTTGTATGGTCATTGTGTGATCTTAAGTGGCTATTTTTTGTGTGGTTATAGTAAAATATCTTAATTATGTGTTTAGTTTACTATTATAGTCGTAAACATTCATTGTAATTCTAAATATTTTCCCTTTTTAATAAAACTAGCAATTCTATAAAAAGAAAGAAAGATGATTTGTTTGAAAAACAAACAACAACAAAATAAAATAAAATAAAATAGTTTTTTTTATAAAGCTTTAGATCATTAATATTTTTTTTAATATTGATACTATAATTTCATTAAAAATTTAAAGAAAAACTACATATACCAAAATATTTTTAAGTGTGAAAAATTAATTTAAATTGTTTTTATTAAGTACATAGATATTATATTTTCAAGATAAATATCGATGTTCGAATAAGTATATAGTGAGACAACATGAGTATTGTTTGCCACTCGATCAATTAATGGATTTTAATTTAATTTTTTATATATATAAGGTTGGTGACAAATGTAAAATTTTATGCTAAATAGATAAAGTTATAAAATTTTAGAGGTTAAAACAGGGCAAAAATGCTCAAATAAAGCTACTGGGAATGTTTAATTCCCAGTTTAAGGATGTTAGTCCATTATTTCCCCAAATGGGGTGAATGTTACAGGGTTGGATGCATTGCTTTGGATCTATCGGCGTCTTCACATTCGTTCAAGGATCTCTCGGCGTCTTCAACACAAAATTTTCCTGCAGGTGGATCACTCGGCGTCTTCCATGCAGGGAATGCTGCAAGGCTTCCTCGTACGATAAAACTTCCGAAGTGAAGTCTCTTGACCCATTTTTGCAACGCCATCGAACCGTCGAGCTCACTCTCGGTTTTCTCTATAACAACCCGATCTATCTCTTCATCAGTATTGCTTTTAACTAATAGCTTGTTTGAATGATCAGATGATGATGACACACATCGTTTATTTACTGATTCGGATTGCAAAAACCTTCTAATTCTAGCAAAGAACTTAAGCTTTCTAGAAGTAACCAAATAGAAGATGAAGAGGAAGACATGCTCTGAGTTTGAGAGGGAGACATGGTTGGAGAAGGGAAATTCAAAGAAGTGGGTTCATTGTTTATATAAACTACTGCGAACAGAAACCAGACAACCACCATTGCTCTCCATTGCTTCACCGTTCAAACCAGCTTTTATCAAGACCCAACCACCTAGAAGCTTGCATGGGGGTTTTCTGCTACTGTCATCGGTTCTCCCTACTGGTTTCGCTGAAGCTTTATCGTACGAGGAAGCCTTGCAGCATTCCCTGCATGGAAGACGCCGAGAGATCCACCTGCAGGAAAATTTTGTGTTAAAGATGCCGAGAGATCCTTGAACGAATGTGAAGACGCCGAGAGATCCAAAGCAATGCATCCAACCCTGTAACATTCACCCCATTTGGGGAAATAATGGACTAACATCCTTAAACTGGGAATTAAACATTCCCAGTAGCTTTATTTGGGCATTTTTGCCGTTAAAACAGTCTATCAATTGAAAATACAATTTATAATTTTTTTAAGAAAGATGATCACCTTTCCAATACTCTTTCGATCTATCCATGTTAATGCATGTATACATGTCTCCTAATCTTTATAATTTATTTATACATAATCATTTATTGTTTATAATTCATCTATATTAATCAATTACGTACCATTTACAAACTCTTTCATATTGAAAGAACATCCACTTGATTTAGAACGTGCGTTACAATATGTTTTACAAATTAATTTATAACCTGATTTATTTTATATATTTTATTTCCCACCGACCGTATGTTCCATTTCTCACCAACCAACCAAAGCAAAAAATCAAACAAACAAAAAAACACACTGCCCGTGGTGGATCATGGATGTCATTTAAACGTCTGGCTGAAAATGATACGATAGAGATAGATTATTTAAGCTCGATTTGATTAAAGTTTAATTAATATTTTAAGAAACATAATTTTTCTTTTTGGATAAAAACCTTACCTAATAGCTTCTACTATTTATCATCAACCACACTATTTGTTTTCCCTAATTCCTATATCTACTTTATTATATTTTTCTTGTCAAGTACATAAATGGATTTTAGTGGATGTTTTATTTAATAGCATGTCAAGTTGCCAAGCAATGTTTTATGTTGGTTTTGCTTTGCTTTGCAACTTGGATGAACACCCCGTCAAACCTAATCCACATATTTGTGTTAGCTTTGTTTTTATTAGAAATTGGTACACCAACTTTATTAAGGGTAAATATTAGATCGAGTTGATTCAAATGAAAAAATTGAGTTTGTCGAGTTGAAGATTATTATTTATATTTAAAGTTTATCTAAATTTTTTTGAATCGAGTGAAGTTTATGAAATTCGAATTGGGTAGAAGCAAATGTATTTATTTAAATTAATATCCGAATTTAATTGTAATTATTTATAATATTATAATACTGATTATTTTCAATTTAAATTACTCTCTCTAAGTCAATACGATACACATATATATTTTATATTATTTTTCAGATAACTAAGATTGATAATATTATTTAATAAATTAATCATCATCTAAAATTATATAATTATTTTATAATATTATTTTAAATTAATCATCTTGAATAATGTTAAGAGATTAAATTAAAAGGGGAAGTTTTTATTATAACAAAAACTAAAATTATAGTTATATTTTGCTGTGGTTAAGGAATATATAATTTTTTTTATTAATCTGGGGTAAGTAAAATGTAGTATCTGTTCAAAGATAACTTTCAACCTCTCAACATTAAACGTTCACACTCCTAGTATCTATAGTAGTCGAACTCGGATTCTCAAGAAATAATAATAATTTCTTTACAATGGAGGTCACTTAGTTCGTGCGTAATATACAATTTAGATTTAATAAAAAAAGGATTTTTTTTCTAATATTAAAAATCAAAACTACAACTTGACCTTGTATAGTTGTACCGCATTAATCAATCATATTGCTTTAAAACAGAATCTTTACATTTGTTATATCTATAAAGTAACTTTTCATTGAAAAAATGAAAGTTATTAAAATTTGAATTTAAATTAATTTAACTTTTATTATTTTATTTTATTTTAATAAAATAAAATAATAATGAAATAATATTTTTTTGTACTCTATTAGTTTTATATACTTTACACGTAAGTAAATGTTGGAATCCAAATTCTCTATGTTAAAATTCAAATCAAAAGACGCTTTGACTTGTTACATCAGCCGCGCCGTCCTTGTCAAAATTACCTTTAACGCACAGCGTATTTGTATATATAATCAACAAATTTAGATTGTTGGTTTCCATCAACATTTAGGCCGTGTTTTCCCGATCTGCTGCAGAAAATGGGACTCGTGAAAAATTCAACAATGATATGCGCCCCATTAATGGCGGAATCAGCAGAGCAAATGGTTGAAGAAATGAAGCAGGCGAAAGCCGAAGGCGCGCAGCTCGTCGAGATCAGGTTGGATCATATCAACGACTTCCAGCCTCGCCGCTACCTTCCAATCATCCTCGAAAATAAACCTTTGCCGGTCGTTGTCGTTTACCGGTAACCATTTCAATCTCTCTGTCCTTGTTTGTTTGTTTGGTGAATTTTGCTGTTATTTTATAGGAAAACTCTTGGTGGAGATAATACTATAATAGAGATGGAAACTATAATGATATATCCAATATAAGTTTTTTTTTTGAACGACAATGGGATAATAACGAAGAGTCGTGGGTTGATAAAACCCCTTGTTTTCTCTCATTTTATAGGTCAAATTTTTCTTCTTCTAAGCATTCTCATAAAAATAGGTATAAAATATAATTTTTGGTTACCTAATTGTGATAATTATATATAATATTGTACTCAATTTTTTTTTTGGATAAATAAGATTTTATTATCCAAAAGAAGCAGAAACTGCTACAAAAGAATCAATCTAATCAATGGAAACAAGATCAAGGGTAAACTATGAACAACAAAATCAGACTATACCCAATTGTTACATAAATCTAAATTAGTATCTAATCTATTAATGTTTATGCTACTTAAGTGAGTACTAATAATGTGTTTGATTGCAAGAATAACTTACTCCTCGGTTCTATAAGTATTCAATTTTTGTTTCATGTAATCACGTACCTAATTTTTTTATCAGTGCAATTAAGTTTTAACTTTTTTCGGTACCAACAGATTTTTTTTAATTATAAGTGTTCATAACTAATATAAAAATATATGTTATAAATTAAAAAATTAAACGTTAAAATTATAATATGAATACGTGTAATTTTTTTTAAATATTAGAGATCTAATTATCTCAAAAAAATTAAAAATAAATATTTAATTACATAATTGAATTACCCAATTACTCAAAGAAAAAAGTTAAGTACTACATTATACATAAATGTCAAACTTAGGAACCGAAAATTATATTTGCACAAAAAGATATTAATATTTCACGCCCGTCATTATTGTATTTTTCCTTTATAAGGATGTGAGATATATTTACTTTTTAAAATAGTAGATACTTAAATTTATGAATATTTTAAAAATAATAATATTTAAGGTTGGATTATTATATGATAATAAATTGTCTAAACTATACTTATTTTTTGTTTAAATATCTAAAATATTTCGATCAATTCAAGTGTCAACGTTACAAACATTATTATTTTATGATCATTTAAAAAATATCATCAAACACTCAAAATATGACATTTGACACATTTATAATCTTTTTGAACTTTATTTTTTTAAACTTTTAAAATATTATTAATTTATAAAAAACTAAAGTTTCTCTAAAATCTCAAAAAATAATAAAAACTTTAATTCTAAATCATCAATTCCAATCAATGGTTATTTTTGGCGCCGTCATCGTCGACCGTCTATCCACTCGTCGACAAACCCTCAATGCTAATCATTCCTTTCCTCATTGCCTCAATCTCCTAAAAGTCTAAATGTCTAAATCTATAAACCCTAATTTTTTACATCCCTAAATTACTATATTGCTTACCAATTTCCATTGGCTGCAGTGGGTTTTAAATCCTCTAATAGAACGCACACAAGTATTGATGGTTTTCAAGAGGGTTTCAATTATCGCAACAACGGGGAGGGGGTTACTGAACAACCGATTAGGGGATTATAGTTTTAATTAGGTATTAAAGACATGTGATATTGGGACGACGGTAGAGGATGGCCGACAGTAATAGTTCGACGATGAGTGGATAGATGTTCGGCGGTAGTGGTAACTGTAGGAATATATTATTGATTTTAAGGGTTTTTCTTTGTATTATTTTAGATAAATTAGGATTTTTTTAAAAATATAATAATATTTTATTTTATTTTTTAAAATAAAATATTTAAAATTACATAAATGTGACACATGTCATTTAACGAATTTTTTTTACATACGTTGTAACCGAAATACTTAAATAATAACATTTTTATCGTTAAATATTTGATTTGACTGAAAAAAAAATTACACTTAAATGAAAAAAATAATATAATCTAATCAATTTTTTTCATATTTAGCTTCCATAATAATCAATTATTTAGTTAAAAATATCAAAATTATAACTTTTTAAATAAAAAAACTGAATATTCCCCTACATCCTTGTAAGATTATTTGAAGAGAGAAAAATTGAACATACCGATATTCGTCACTCGATTTGACACGTATATAATTTCTAAGATGAGCCCTTTTGTTCAGGCCTAAATGTGAAGGTGGTCGGTATGAAGGCGATGAGCACTCCCGACTGGAAGTACTTCGTTTAGCTGCAGAAATGGGAGCTGATTATGTTGATTTTGAACTCAAGGTACCCTTTTAAATTTCTGTAGTTTCTTGTCTGAATTTTTGTTTCCAAACTATTCCGTTTCTGGATTATTGTATCTTCTGCTGTATCTTTCTAGATTCTCTCAATCTTTCTGCAATTTGGTGATTTATTTTCTACCATCTTTTAATATTTTAAATAACATTTTGGTTCATGAAGATCTGATTGTCATAGGCTATGCAACTTGGACTCGAAATGAGACTCACATACTCATGTCAAAATTAGTGCAGAATGAGAAAAATGAAGTGTCTCGGGTGAAATCCGTCATAGGGGATTTTAATCGACCACCTTGTTCCCTTGAAAGTTCTTTTCAGTTTTAATCTGACTTGCATCTCATGTGATTGTCCAGGTTGCTTCTGATCTGATCAGGGAACTGAAAATGAAGAATCAGACTCAGAGTGCTACAAAATTTATTGTTTCATGTCACATTACCGTTACGACCCCTTCGGAAGAAGAGTTAAGTAATCTTGCTTCCACCATGCGAGCTTTGGGAGCCGATATTGTCAAGGTGGTTGTGAATGTAACTGATATTACCGAGATAGCAAGGATTTTTCATCTGCTTTCTCACTGCCAAGTAAGAAATTCAAACTCTTATGGTCTTTTGCTTCGAACATGTTCAGAGCAGTTGTATAGACTGTCACTAATTCTATGGCCTTTCCTTTCGAACATGATCGGGGTACCCGTTGTTCCTGAGGTATAACATTATTAGATTATATTTATCTGCAGGTGCCAGTAATTGCATACTCTATAGAGGAAAGAGGTCTCATAAGCCAACTGTTGTGCCCAAAATTTGGTGGCTTTTTAGCCTATGGATCCATCGATGGATATTCAATTCCCGGCATCCCTTCTTTACAGAGTGTTAAGCACACTTATAATCTTGACTCTGTGAATTCAGAAACTAAAGTTTTAGGACTTGTTTCTAAACCTGTTAGCCATAGCAAGGGCCCTATACTGCATAATCCTACCTTCAGACATGAGAACTTCAATGGAGTTTATGTCCCATTATTTGTTGATAATCTCAAGGAGTTTTTTAGAACCTATTCCAGTGCTGATTTTGCCGGTTTTAGGTATGTCATTTGACAAGTTCATTCTCATAGGTGATAGAATTTTATCTTTGGTAGATCAAATCAGGTTAGTTTCTTTTTAGCCATTCAAACACATTTTAGTCGGTGTTTTCATATATTCTCCAAACGTAACTTCGACTTTGTCATTTCCATGAAATGCAGTGTCGGGTTTCCATACAAGGAAGCTGTAGTTGAGTTCTGTGATGAAGTTCATCCACTTGCAGAGGTTGACTATAATCATACACTTTAGAAATTATAGTTTCCCGTTTATTTGTTAAAGTCTGTTGTTTTTGTGCTATATTCCATTTTTGATGCATTTTTTATAATTTATAAGTTCAGGATCTAATTTTTGATCACTGGGAAAAAGTAAATAAAAACATTAAATAAATAGATGCAGGTTTTTAATTGTGCATACTTCTGCAAATTTTTCTTGCAAATTGTTCTAAAGTGTTTTTAAGTTTTGAAGTAAATGTTCATCTTACCCTATTCTAAAACTCATATTTTCCTACCTGGAATCGCATCATCAAACAGCACATTTTGTAATGGGAAACCAGAACTAAAGGACTATAACACTCAAAACAGTATATATTGATACATATACTTGTTTCTTATACAGGCGATTCTACAACTTCTCTTTTATATATAATTCTTGATGTTTCGGTTTCCTAATATATATAACTGGCTGTATCTGCTTGTTGTGTAATGAAGTTTTCTTTACATTCATCATCAGTCTATAGGTGCTGTCAATACTATTATAAGGAGGCCTTGTGATGGGAAGCTGATCGGTTATAATACCGATTGCGAAGCTGCAATAACTTCAATTGAGGATGCTCTAAAAGGTACCTTACATTGATTAGAAACAAATTCCTATCATGTTGCCGCCGATGTTTATTGTGTTGATTAATCATTAGTCCATTCTAGATGCTGAATTTCTAGCACTTCTTTGCTTTTAAACAATCTTCTTTAGGTACGCCAATATCTGGGAAACTCTTTGTGCTAGTCGGTGCTGGAGGTGCTGGAAGAGCATTGGCTTTTGGTGCTAAAAGTCGAGGAGCTCGAATAGTCATTTTCGACATTGATTTTGGTATACAATCTGCAACTCTTAAACAGGCAATGCTCCCTGTTTGCTGATATGATTGTCAATTATGATCCAAAGATTCTGAATCTTTTTCTTACAATTCTCATTTCTTGTGGAAAAAGAAAGAGCAAAGTCTCTTGCTTCTGCCGTCTCAGGTGAAGCTCAAGCTTTTGAACAGGTTGTTAATTTCCGGCCAGAGAAAGGAGCGATCCTTGCGAATGCAACACCGCTCGGAATGCATCCAATAACAGATCAGCGCATTCCTGTGGCTGAGGTTTCCTACTTCCGTAACAGCTACAATAAATTTCAAACTCTTTTCTGAAGAACACAATTCAATCTTGTTTCATTACTGAAATTATTTTCTTTCTTTTTTCCCAGGAAACTTTGGAGGATTATGAGTTGGTCTTTGATGCTGTTTATACACCTAGAAAAACAAGATTATTGAAAGAAGCGGAGGCTGCTGGGGCAATCACTGTGAGTGGAGTTGAAATGTTCCTCAGACAAGCTATGGCTCAGTTCAGTCTCTTCACTGATCGACAAGGTATCTCCTCACTCTCCTCTAAGTTACTTCTTAATACTGGAGAGTTAGAGCTGCAATTACTGTCAGTGTTCATGATATGTTTTCCTTTATTCCGTTTTGCAGCACCTAAAGAGTTCATGCGGGAGATTATTATGGCAGAGTTCTGATGTATTGGATTACGCTGAGAACATTGTTACCATTCAGGACTCGAGTCAATTTAATTGATCGAGAATTTAATGAATTTCTTACTTTTGAAAATCTTATCCTTATAAATTGTAATTTATACTCATTAAATTTTTAAATTAATTTTGTGTTACGATTCAATTTGAATATAAATTCATTTAGAAGTTATCAACAGCCCGGCTTTTAAATATAATAAATATTTTATAGAAATGTTTTTTTTCATTCTTTTGTAAATTTAAATAAATATAAATTATTTATTGGAATTTTTTAACACAATCAAAACTTTTATCTTGCACACATTTTACAATTGCACCAATAATTATTTATATATTTATTTTTTAAAAATTTATATTTTTATATAAATAATATTTATTTATTGTTTAAAAATTTAATGTATATGGTACAAGTATCAATAACATTCAGAATTGAACGAAACAACAAACAAATAAATAGGGGGCAATCATAGAATTGAACTCGGAAACTCTCGCACCTTAAGCGAAAATCAAACCGCCAGACCAAACGCTCCAAGTCGGAATTTGTTTATTATTTATTTTAATTTTCTAGTATCTATATTTCTACTCGAAGCCAAGTTATTAACAGCGGAATTTGGCTCATTTTAGCTTTCTTAGTTTGTTCCCAGTTTCGCCTTAGTCATTTGCGCCAGGTTTACCTCTCTCGTTTCTTTAGTTCTTGATCTCCCTTCATTTATTCTACCAGAAATACCACTCAATTTTACTTCATAATCGACAATATTTTTTTTCATTTTTTTGCAACGTTTCGTGCAAGACTCGCCGTTTTAGTCTATATACTGTACTTTTAACAATGCACTCTAAGTGTTTGCTATAATGCTTCTTTGTACACTCTGCGAAGTTGTATTTTCTTACATTTTTTTTCCTGATTTTCAGGGTGTTTTTTTTGTAAGATGTTGAAGCAAGTAATAAGGAAAGTTTTGAGCCAAAGGGTAGTTTCATATTCTGGTGATAAACTTTTGTTGCCTTGCTTGTACTCGCCCTCGAGATACTTTCATGCTGGACAGGTATTTTTTTTCTTTGAAATTTTATGTTAGTTTTTATGGATATACCCAATTCATTTCTCCTTCGGAATTTATCAATGGAAACCAAACCCATTAATCCTTGGTGTCCAGATATTGTGTTCATTGTTAGATCTTTCAGAAATAAAGTACATAGAAACATGAAAAATCTTGCTTTGTAACTTACTTTGGTAGCTCCTTTATGGGCATGATGAATAAAAGAATTAAATTGGTGAATTTTAAGTGAAATAAGGCTAAATACTCCTCTGTGAACGATAGTGAAATAGTACCATAAAAGAAGGGTGGAAAAAACCCTGTGGGGAGTGAATTAGAACACAGAACTGATAGTGTGGTAGTACCATAAGAGAAGGGCGGAAAGAACCCTGTGGGAAGTGAAATAGAACATGAAATCATATTCTTTCAGGCTGGAGGAGCTCAGGGGTATGACTTCATGCATGTTGAAGAATGAGCCAGTGACTCAGCAGTGGCTTGGTTAAGGAAACTCACTGGAGCTGTAAATAAAGCAAGTTTTAATGAGGCAATTGTCACTACACATGGACCCGATCCTAGGTTGTGACCAGAAGAAAGCTTGGTGGAGGTCCAAATGACTGACTGATGTGGAAGTATTGACAAGTTCTAGTTAGGGCTGATATGTGTCACGAACCCAGAGTTAGTTCATTATCCCAGAAATGTCAGTTAGTTGAGAGTTCTTAAGTTTGGTTTTTCAACTTTCAATACTTATAACCATATATAATTTCAGAATCATCTTGCAAGTTAATTGCTATCAATGTTCCAAATGAATGGAGAGGTTAGAACTTATCGTAGCATTGACCATTGGGAAACATAAAGTGAAACTTTGGCCTGCATAGGGGTCTGAAAATGGTCGAGAAGAAAACTGTAAAGATGAGTGAGTGAATGTACATAAGCTGTTCATTCTTCATTTATTTGATATATTAATTGAAAGTAAGTCGTGTAAATCTAGTTAGAAGATGTTATTTTTTTATAAGAATATCATCTTCAATCCTTTCTTCTTATTTCTGTTTTTGCTGAATCTGCATGCATACATACATTTATTTGCGGCAAACCTCATCCATATCTTGTTATCAATCTATGCTAAGTAGGTTTGTTAAGGGTACTAAAAACCTTATATTGCCCGAGATGCAATGAGTTAAAAAAAAAATTCACTTCTTGAAGGTGCAATATCTTGTTTGTGTTTTTGTTTGTATGTGTGTGCTCATGCGCATATATGTATAAAACATGCAAAATTTTCTTTTCTTTTCATTGACCAATATTCATGATTTTCTTACGGTCTCATGTTTGTTGTTGAATGCTCAAATATTGAGAAGTATAGAGTTTGATATTATATCTTTTTTAGTAGTAAAGGTACAATATGAAAAAAACTAAAAGAAAAAGAAACTGTAGAGAAATTTAATCGGAGCGGACTATTTTTGCACCTATCACTCTGGAAAATAGTACATTTAGGCACTAGACATGCATGTAATCAAGTGCACCTTGCCCCCCAAAAAGATTCTAGGTTGTGAAGTTCATAGTTGCTAACTTTATAGAACATTTTCTCTTGAACAGGTTCATTGTTCACCAAGAAGTTTCTTTGGGGTGGAAGATTTTCTTGATGATGAAAATAGCAGGCCATACACTTATCAGAAGGAGAAAAAGTCAAAGAATCCGAACAAGCATGTCTCATTTAAACAGCGGACCGAAGCCTACATGGAACCTTTTACACTCGATGTCTTCATCTCGAAGCGCTTTGTTTCCGCTTCACTTACACATAGGGTAACAAGTAAACAAGTTGCAGTTGCAGGCACAAACTCGAAAGACATTAAAGCAGTACTAAGATCCAGATCGGACATTCCGGCTTGCTTGGCGATCGGACAGATATTAGCTGAGAGAGCGAGAGAAGCCGATGTGTATACAGCTTCTTATACTCCCAGGGAGAGAGACAAATTTGAAGGCAAAATCAGAGCCGTGGTTCAATCCCTCATTGATAATGGAATTGATATTAAAGTTTATCTTGATTGAGTAATTTGATTTCAATTTTTGAACTTTACTCTCTTTACTCAAACCTTTTGAAAGATATTCTCTGTTGTTTTAGCGTGTGAACATGCTTGACTGTTGTATTTGTCTTCTTTTTTTACTATGAACATTTTAATCTTATACCAATTTGGATCATAAACTTCAAATTATTAGGGTTTTTTCTTGGAGAAACTTCAAAATCAATTTGATTTTAGTTGGAGCTTAAATTTGTGCATAAATAATCACGCTTGTAGTCTGAGTATGAAAATCAAACCCAGTTTTTTTTCTTGGTAAATAGTTACAATCAACAATAATAACTTAGTTTCTAAATGAGATATTTGCACTTGGTTTTGCTCTAATAAAATTTTAATTTTATTTGCGAGTCGACTTTTGATCCAGATATCTAAGGCTTAATACTTTAAGCTTGCGAGTTTACTCAATTTTTTCATCTTAGTATTTAAAAGTTTCATTCTTAATTTAGTTTGATTGTTTATCTTTTTATAATATAGGTGGTGCAAGACACAAAAGGGTATTATAGTAAAATCTGTTAAAAATTGGATTTAATTAAAAAAGAGAACCGAAAGGGGATTCGATTTCTTTAAAAGGCAAATTTTTCCCATATGCTTCAGAAGATTTCACTTTCTCGAATTCAGAACCCATAGCATGTTTGTGTAGTCAGGCTTCATAGCAGGTTTTTTTCTTTCCTTTTTATTTTCATTTTTTGTAATGTAATTTCATTATGTTATTTATGTTTGGTTGCGGAGAACGGCGGAGGTAAGTTAGGGGTTTTTTTTTTGAAATATTTTTGTTTTCTGGTTTTCTTTTATAATTTTGGAAAGGTTGGTTTTGATGTGTTTCTGTTGTTTCTTTTCTCTCCAAAAAAATATTAGTCTCTAAAAAAAGTGTTGAGGATCTAATTAGATATATGTTCAATGAAACGAAATGTATTAACGATAAGCTTTGCCTTTGCCTTTCTAGGGGCATTGAAGAAGGCATTTTGCAATGAAAATGAGTTATTTGGAATTGAATTTGAGATTCTTTTCTGTAGATTTGTGGATAATGTGTCTGAGAGAGAGAGAGAGAGAGAGAGAGAGAGAGAGAGAGAGAGAGAGAGAGAGAGAGAGAGAGAGGAAGTTGAGGGACTTCAATTTCTGCGTTAAGTTTCTTCTAAGACCCAAATTGGAGAAAAAGAAGGGTGAAACTGCTCTCTCTCCTCTTTGGCAATGTTTTCTTCATTCCTCCTATTCCTGTTCTAACTATAACTTTACAAAGTTGTATTCCATTGCTTTGGTATTATGGATTAGAAGGTTCTTAAGTTTTCGGGTATTGAGGAATTCATTTAGAATGAAAAATGAGTTATTTAGAAATTCAGAATTCTTAGTAGATTTCGGGTAATTGGTGGAAAGGAAGAAAAGAGTTAAATGAGATGGTTCTACACCGTTGTTACTTTCTTTTATGTCCCTGTATATTGTGATGTTTGGTGACAGAGAAAGTTGAGAAACTTAAAAGGTTTGCAGTTAAGATTCTTCTAAGTTCTATGTATGAGAAAAGAAGGGAAAAATCTCCTTTTTCGTGATGTTTTCTATCCTGCTTCAAATCCAACTTAAAGCTTTACAAATTTATATTGCTTTGCTTTGGTATTGATGATTAGGAAGTTCTTAATTTTCGAATCTGACATTTAGGTTGAAAATGAGCTACTTGGAACTGAAATTGAGAATGTTTATTAGAATTCTGAAAAAATGTTGGAAGGGAAGAAAAGAGTTAAATGAGATGACATGCTATTCTACGCTATTGCTGCTCTCTTTTATATCCTTGGTTAATGGCTATTGCTGAAAAAGAAAGTGGAGAAACTTCAAGCTGCAGTTATGCTTCTTCTAAGTTCTAAGTAGGAGATAAGAAGGGAGAGCTTTCTCTTTTTTGGTGATATTTTCTTATCCTTTTCCTAGTGCAACTTATAACTTTATTCATTTGCTTATTGATATTTGGAAGTTCTAGACTTCGATTGATACAAATGCATGACTGAGGAGAAGTTGTAGAAAATTGATACAAGTTTGATTCGATATGGATTCTACTGGTGAATATAATGAAGGTGTTTGGGGACATTCTATGTTATCATGTCTGCTTTGGAGCCAATTATATAAATCATGCACCTCCACTACGAGGGACAACAAAGTTTCCTGCACGTATGTTTCTAAGTAGGAGAAAAGAAGGGAGAACTTCATTCTTGGTGATAGTTTCTTCATCTTATTCCAAATCCAACTTGTAACTTCACAAATTCATTTTCTCTGCTCTGGTATAGACAATTAGGAGGAAGTTCATAACTTCGATTGGTGCAAGGCATGAGTTTAGTAAATCAATATTCTTTTTTATTCAATATGGATTCTGTTGGTGATTACACTGTGGCTGTTTTGTGGACATACTAAGTTTGTGTCTGCTTTGGAGCCTATCTTAGAATCAAGCTCCACTGCTGGGAGCAAGAAGTTCCTTGCTTAAATGTTTCTAGTTTTTACTCTACTTTTTTATAATAAAAAAATGGTTTATTCCATATTTTCTTTTTGACATCCCCTAACTGCTCTCTTTCTCTCGCTGTTTCTCTCACAAGCACATAGATATGTACCCGGTCCTGCCCTGGTTTGAAATCTTATCTGCTTGACTGCTAATTTGACCAGGAATACAACTGGCTCCTATCACTCTGTGAGCCCTAGACCATGGAACAAGAAAATAACAAAAATAAAGGTGACAATGTTGCAGAAGATTTATCAAAGGCGAAATTTGACATTGCAAAGTCAATAGCCAAGAATTTCTTGAAGACAAGAAACTCCATTGATACTTCTGAGGTTCAGAGGAGAAAGCGAAAGAAGAAAAACAAGAGTATATCAGAAAGCAGCAAACTAACTGAAAATGATGCTAAGAAGCAGAAAACAAGGGAAGAAAACCCACAAAAGAGTGCTACCAGCAGTATGGTGAATGTAGAGAATGGCAAGCAGATCCAAAAGAAGGAAGAAAATACATATCAGTCAGGTGGCAAGGAAAAGAGTAGTAAGTCAAGTGGAAGTAACAAAATACGAAGAAGGGGGAGGGGGGCTGGTCTTTTGAATAAAAACTGGAAGAATGAAGAAAAGCAGAGAGGCAAGAGGAATAGAAAATGGAATGTGCAGATGGAAAAGCACAGGAGTTCGGAGAAGAATTTTAGGACTAAAGAAAAGAGTGATGGTAAGGGAATGCAACAAGAAAATAAAATGAAAGAAAAGATTGATGGTCTAATATTTCTGTGCAATGCAAAGACCAAGCCCGAATGTTTCCGATACCGTGTAATGGGGGTATCAAATGATAAAAAAGATCTTGTGTTGGGTATCAGACGAGGGTTTAAGCTTTTTCTCTATGATTATGATCTCAAGCTTATGTATGGGGTATATAAGGCATCCTCTTCTGGTGGCATTAAACTTGAGCCTGAGGCTTTTGGTGGAGCTTTCCCCGCTCAGGTGTACCATTTTGTTACAGCCCTCATTAGTTACAAGTTTACAACTCTTCTTCATCCTTTCCTAAGAGATTAGATTCATGTACCAATGACATCTATTTCAGGTGCGGTTCAGTATCCATGTTGATTGCTTTCCTCTGGCGGAGAGCATTTTCAAGAAGGCAATCAAGGAAAATTATAACAAAAACAACAAATTCAAAATTGAACTTACTGCTAGACAAGTAAGGAGTAATTTTCTTACATGGAAGTTAGGTGTTGATCCTTTAATATTTTGGCATTAACCACACCTGAATTTTCCCTTTCAGGTTCGGAAACTCACTAAACTGTTCCGACCTGCTGCAGTTCATTCAACTGCCCTGCCTGTCCACTCTCCTCCATCAAGAGCAGTGGCTCGAATCTTTGAGCACCCTGAAAATGGGGAAGCGCATGATAGACCAAGAGAAGCAAGGGTCCCTTCATACAGAGAAGCATCTGCTAGAGACCCTTATGCATATATCAGTACTAGAAGTTATCCTGTTTTATCTCATGAAAGGGATAGGCAAATTGCATATGGAGAGTTGCCATCTACTCGGAGAGAGGTCATTCTTCGTGATTTATACCTTAATGAGAATGATTATGGGGCTTATGGTTTTCGGGGAGAGAGAAGAAACTTAAGTTTTCAAACTCCTATGGCTCCTAGATTAGGATCTTACCATAGAGATTATAAAGAGCTGCCTCTACACCAACAGGATGTCGTATACAGGGAATCCATGCCTATGCAAAGAGAGATAATTCCCTCTGATCCTCTTTACTGTACTAAGAGAGAGTATAAGACTTATGATTTGGGTGCTACACAAGAAATGCAATTAACTGTTTCCGCAGCAACTGCAAATACATCTCTTGCTGGTGCTTCTACTTTGGATCCTTATGCTACAGATCCTTATTATAGTCGCTACTATGGTGCTTCATCATTTGACTCTTACCTGCCACATTCAAACAGGGAGGCACACCCGAATGAGACTGATCGATTGAGGATGAGAGAAAACAATCAAGTAGACGGATTGAATCCGATGTATGCTTCCAATGCTTTAGCAGAATACAACCAGAGGTATCGTCGTCATGATGCTAAGCCTGTTCCTGCTTCTACATCAGTTTCATACCGGTACTTTTTCAACGGTCCATCTTTTTCAAATAGGTGAGGGTCGTCGGAGTTTGATTATCTGCCCCTTATCCCTAACTTGAGACTTAATGCATTTCAATTAATGACTTATTTTCCCTGTTTTTTGCATGCAAGCTGTTGAACTCCAGCAAACATTTGTGTTAAATAGATTATCGTGAATATTTATTCAGCTTTTTGTTGGTACATCCTTTTAGCCAAGTTGTATTTAGAGCATTTTGCAAATCCTTTTTCTAATATTCATGTTTAGGGAAGGTAATTTGACCTGAACCCGATAGGTTTCGATTCAATCTAATTCTATAGGATTGGGTTATTTAAAAAAATCAAGTTCATGTTGGGTCAGGTTGTGTGGATTGTGGAGGAGAGTGTCGGAGTCGGGTCGAAGTCAGGTTTAGGATAAGAAATATCTGGCACAATGCGATCGCGTATATAGATGTATATATTTTTCATTCCCTCATTTCTATCGTCTTTCACCCCCTTCCATTTTTTTCTCTCTTTTTCTTTGTTGTTCATTTTCCCTCCACTTTGATCTTCATCGTAGAGAGGTTTCTCGTGCTCCTTAATTTTCACTATCATCAATAACGGTTGTCTACCCAACCCCCACTTTTAAAATTACTTTTTGTGTGGATTTTATGAGGGTTTCAAAGTCTGATGAACAACAATAATAGTTTTAAAATTGTAATACTAATACAAGTGTTGCATGTGTTCTTTATGGAATAAATTTTTTATTTGCATGTCTTTTATTTTTTTTTAAAAATGGGTGAATAAGATAGCCACAAATTTGAAAATAAAAGGTTTATTTTTTTTTCTTTTTAGAAACTTGAGCTGTCCGCTCACCCTGCCCAGAGAAAAAGATAGTTAAGGGGAACCTGAAAAGAATGGCCACTAAAGAAAACCGTTGGCGACAGCTGTAATGACGCCTAAAGGTTAAGGCCAGCCAGCCACACCGTCCCAACAGACGGGCAGCCAAGAAAATCATTTATGCTTATGATTGAACCAACGGTCATATTGGGCAGCCAGCCCGTAACCCCTCTAAAAATTTGTTCTTGCCCCCATCACCTACATAGGATCTCATTTTATACACTCTCCAACTTGCTTATTCTCCATTTGTTCTGACCAACATTTTGTTTTTCCAATCTCTCTCTTCACATCTTCAATCTGCTAAGATAACATCAACAATGGAGGCATTGAGGATGAGTTTATTTTGGGCCGTGGTGGTTATTTTGGTGGCCGTTTTTACGTTCCAAAATGTCACAGCAGTCTATGCTCCGGCACCTAGTCCGACCTCAGATGCTACAACTTCCGTACCGACGGTGTTTGCTTCCCTTGTTGCTCTTGCATTAGGACTTCTTTTTTAAAGCGGTGGTGTTTGTTGAGCTACATTACTATTCGATGCATGCATACTTTTCTTGTTGTAGTAGTTTTAATGTGTAATTGGTGTGATTTGTTTATTAGTGATCTAATAAATTATTTTTGATTTATAAGGTTACTTCTTTTATTTAACACAATCCTTTTAGGACTAGTGTAAGTAAATCATGTGTATTAAGTAAATTTAAAACGTTTTATTATTTTTATAATAGAAAAGTTTCAGTCATATATTAGAAAGCAATATTTTTAGCAACATAATAAAAAATTAAATTGATTTTAAAAAAATATTTTATCTACAGTGACGCTTCAAATATATAACTTAAAGAGTTGTCCCAATTAACGGCCACGCTAGGAATGTCTTTTTTATAAAATTCTTATTCGAGTAATTTTGGATATTTATTTCGGTTAAATTATAGTTCTAATCCGTCTATTTAAATTTTAATATTTTAATTAGGTACAATTTAAGTCTTTACTTTTTATAAAATCATTTATTACTCCATAATAACCAAATAGTTAATATTTTAAATAATTCCGATTAAGATGTTAATGTAGTTTTTTTAGGTGTCATTCAATGATATATACATGTATTTATGTTATGTTTATATATATATATATATATATATATATATATTTTGGTAAAGTACACAATTGTTCTCACGACTATAAGATGTCACTTTGTTGAGTCTCTCGACTATTAAAAAGATATAAAATGATATTTAATTATTCATATGTTTCAAACCCGTTCATTTTTGTTAAAAATTATTGTTCTTATGGGTTTGATGTTAACATGTTGATTGTGATATAATAAACTCTGATATCATAATCATTTAAGTTGTATTTTGTGGATCGACTTTCTATTTATATTATACTGTCGAGCCAATGCTTGAAATATTATATCGTTGAGTTTGTGCTTGAAAGTAACATTGATGTCAGTAGACATTATTAAAATATGATTTTATCTTATATCAATAAGCATATTGATGTTCAACTCAAACAACTGTTAATTTTTTAATGAGAAATGATCGAGCTTGAAATATATGAATAGTCGGGTAACCATTTCATAATTTTTAATAGTCAAAGGACTCAATAAAATACCTTCCTATAGTCGAGAGACCATTTTATAATATCCTATTTTTTATATTATATTTATATTCATATAATCGAAATATTATAAATTTATAAATGATACTTTTTATAAAGGTAAAACATGCTTAAAGTCCCTAAATTTTCGAAGATCTGAATTTTGATATAACATTATTTTTAAGAATGCATTTTCTGTATTTTTATGATGTTATATTTTTCTTATATTATTAATATAATAAAACTTCCGATCACGGCTTTCATTACAAGTGGCTGATGGAGTCAAGGGTTGAGTAATGAGGGACAGATTAGTCCTTTCCGAGTAGGAGAGGAACAATCAAAATTAATTTTGCCGTCTGTGGTTAAAAGCCACGCTCTTTGCTAGCTGAGCTAAGAAGCCATTTAGCTTACATGGATGTTGAGCGGTTAGAGTTTAGAAGCACGAGAGTCCAAAATAGAGACAACGCCGTCTGTGGGAATCGAACCCACGACCACGTGGTTAAAAGCCACGCGCTCTACCGGCTGAGCTAAGACGGCCAGTTGAATTATGTTTTCCAACTATTGTTTGTGTATCATAATTGTATTAATTAAATCTCACAGACATGAATGAATAGAGCTTCTTCTTTCAATATATTCTGAATATAAATATCAAATATATTTTGAAATTTAAAAACCTTTGATAGTACTTTTTTTTGGAAACGAAGATGACTATATTTACAAGTGATAAATAATTTGAACTTAAAATTTTGACTTCAAACTTACTTCTCGAATCATTATTTTTCTAAAAATAAATTCGTTTGTTCAAATTTAATTTTAGCTAAATTCCTTCTAAAAAATTATTTATGATTTAAAACTTATAAAAAAGTGTATTTATATAACTAATATTAATATAATATATTGTTAAATTGAAATAATTATAATTTTCTGTCCAGCTCAGTTGGTAGAGCACAAGGCTCTTAACTTTGTGGTTGTGGGATCGAGTCCCACGGTGGACAATTCATAAATTTTGATTGTTGTAGGGAGGTCTTCCACGGAAGCTGTTTTCAACCTAACGTTGGGGGCAGCCTACTACCTACCTCTCCCGCACCCCATTACATATGGGAATAGGGTCAGCTAATTTTTTTTAAATTGAAATAATTCGGAAATCTCATATTTATGTTTCATTATATACATTTTTATTATAATTTCAAAAATATATATATTAATTATAAATTTGATAATTTATTGTAATAATTGACAATTATTATAATTATTTGAACTATTGAGAATGTAATATAAATTGAGCTTCTTAAATAAAAATAAATTAACTATAATTAGATTTTAAGTTTTATTGAATTCATCAAGCGACCTCACTGATAAAAGAGAGTATCGTTATCTTTAATGGTCTTAAATTTGAGTATGAATTTGAACAGTTACATCTACAAAATATATATTATCAATAACTAAGAAATATTCTAAATAACTTGCACTCCCCTTGAACTATTTAAAAAATAAAAAGATTATAAGTTTTATTAATTGATTTTCTTCTGTTACCACTCGTTGTTTAATTATTTTTAAATCATGATAAATTAGTTCACATTATAAATAAAATAAAATAATTATTTTTCGTTTAAATTACTCTAAAAAGCCTAAATTTATTTTATGACTTAAATTAAACCATATGTAGGATAAATTTAGCCGAATTAAGAATGCCACACAACTCATTCAATGACTTTCAATCATTTGACATTGAAATCTCATACATATAGTATATGTGGTGCTCGCACCTGAAACCTTAAAGAATAACAATAATTTCTTAATCATTAAAGTCGCTTAGTTCATACTTTTATCATTTATTTTTTAAAAGTTATATTATGATATTTTCATTATTAGTTTATAATAAAATAATCACTCAAATATTAATTTATATTATACTAATAATGTGACATTTAATTTTTAACTTAACCTAACTTATATTTTAATTAAAATATAAATTTAATGTAATTTACAGTTTTTACACCATAATTTTAAAAAGTTGATAAAATACGAAAAATATTAAAATGTTTAACATTTTAATATTTAAAAATTTTAAAAGTAAAATATTTATAAAATTATTCAATATTATCTTACGTTACTTAATCCCCTTTCAACATGTTCTACTCTAAAATAAAAAAAAAACTTAGCAATGTTGAAGATTAGAGAAAAGACCCTAATTAACTTGTGATGGGTTGCCGCAAGATCTATTGAGGTTGAACTCATTAAATTCAATTCATCACTACTCAATTTGTTCGAAAGAATTTCAATCATTTGACAATAAACGTTCATACACCTCTACAGAAGTCGTGATCGAATTCAAAACTTGAAAGAATAATAACAATTCCTTAATCATTAAAGTCACTTAATTCATATTTTTCTCCCTTTTTCAGTTTAATGAGAATTTAAGATTATGTAAGTATGTGGTAAAAGGAATTATAGAAAGCAATATTTGATTTTCAGATAAATGTATAGTTATAAATTTAAACGTATTATTCCAAAAAAGCTAAAATTTAAAATATTAAATTAAAATTTATTTATTTTTTAACTTATAATATATTAATATAATAGGAGTTAAATTTCGGATAATTATTTTAAGATAAATTGATAATATAAATGATCATAATGTAGCTTTTGCAAATTGAGTGATAAAATAAAACAAAATTAAAACTAAAGTGGCAGTTAGTTTAGTTTATCAGAAATAGAAATATCAACAACCAACGCACCGTTTCATCTCGTTTCCTTCCCATTTCCCCTTTCCCTTTTCCCTTAAAAGGGAAAAAAATGAGCACAGAGAGAAAAATAAAAACGTTAGGGCTTCTGATCTGCAAAAAGAGGGGAAATGGAATCGAAAATTGATGTTACGGAGAAAAAGGAAGGAGAGAGCAATAACAGCAGCAAAGATTTGATCAATAATAATATTAACAACGAATTGATAGATTCCGATAGTAAAGAAGCTGAAGAACGCCAAGCCCGTGAGCTCAAAGCCGGTTTGCATCCTCTGAAGGTATTTTTATTTTCCATGATTTTTTCTAAATATGTGAACATATGTGTAATGTTCTGCGTGTGGATAAATCTGCTTACAGTTTCAAAATCAATATTTTGAAATTGTTAGGTTTATGACGGACCGTAGCTTTTTATTTCGATTCAGATAACCGTTTTTTTCTCTCAATATATGAAAGATATAATCTGCCATCGGTCTTCTAAAACAAGAAATTTCGTTGTCGGAAATTTATTTCGTTTTGCTGAGTAATTGTTCGTAATTTCAATTTTCACGTTTTTACTGAAATGTTAATTCCTTTTTGAAGTTATAACATCTGGAATGACTTACTCGATTGATACACTGAAATAATGATTTTTTTTTGAAGAATTATGTGATTATTTGATTTTTTGATATTAAAGCATCTCGGAGAGTTTAAAGTGCGTCACTTTTAAGTTCGTAATGTTAGTTGCAAAAGTGCATGTTTCCACCTAGAACTGGCAAATGAGTTAATAGATACTGCCATAACGATGCCTTAGTTTACCATAATTCACTTGAAAAGCTTTCAATGTTATATCAGATTATACAGTCTGTATTTTAATCAAAGTGTGAAAAGGACCACGAAAAAAATGAAAACAAACCTTGAAACAGATATCTTATTTTTGGCTGTAGAGAGCCTACTATGGTTCTACATTGCAAAGTAATGTATAGCTACAACTCAATTTCTACACATTCTATTATTAATCCTAAATTCCTAATTAACTAAGGGTTTAAAATGATTTCCTAAGATTGAAGGGAAAACATAATTGTATCCGCTACGCTACCTGTTATGTTCTAGTCCATGTTCTATGATCTAAATAAATTTGTGATCGTCTAACTTTAGGTCTTCAATTTTTATAATGTTTGTAACTTTGTATATTATATTTCTCTCTTCATTTTCTTGGTTTGACATGGATAGCTTGTTAAGTGCAAAATTTGTTGCCAATTAGTTCCTTTATTTGGTTCTCCTGTTCCTTTTAACAGCACAAGTTTGCGTTCTGGTACACTCGTCGGACGCCTGGAGTTCGAACCCAAACAGCTTATGAGGACAATATAAAGAAAATTGTGGATTTCAGTACAGTAAGTTCTTTTTAAAGAGCATAACCTAATTAGCTAAATATGTTCGATTGTAAATACCAACCTTGGTATAAGCGTTTTGCAGGTTGAAGGCTTTTGGGTCTGTTATTGCCACTTGGCCCGTCCCTCTACTTTGCCAAGCCCCACAGATTTGCATTTATTCAAGGAGGGAATCCGTCCACTATGGGAGGTAATTGTTGAAGGCCTTGCCTTCAAACTGCTTGTACCAATATTGCCATTATTTTTGTATAAAAATTAATATTTCTTTTACTGTGGTTCCTTTGTGATTTCATATGTTATTATCCCAGGACTCTGCAAACTGCAATGGTGGCAAGTGGATAATTCGGTTCAAAAAGGTTGTTTCAGGTCGCTTTTGGGAAGATCTGGTAAGAAAGAATACTGTATATAAGAATCTCCCTCCTGATATTCTAGTTAGGTTTTGTTGTACAAACAAGGTCAAATGTCCATTTTAAGTCAGCTTTCTGCAATGGTTTCTAACCAGATCTTTGAATTCTAATCTGAATCATGGGAACTTCACCTTAATTGAAGCATATGCTTGATTTTGACATGTTCTATAACTAAATGAAAGTTTTTACGGTCTATTTAACTTCTTTAGACTATTTCAATGGAAGTTCAGTGATACCATTGTTGAATATAGGTTCAGAATATTAGTCCTTGTCCCGCAGAAATACTATGCATGGAGTTTCATTAACAGTAAAACTCCCTGTTTATGATTAAACTCTTAAGAGTGGAATGTGAAAATTGTTGAGTTGATTATTCTCTCTCTGATGCCTCAATATCCATATGAGCTATTCTTCTTTGTTGACATCTATGATCTACCAATGGTAGAATGTTTTCGAATATAGAGCTACAGTTTAATAAGTGTGTTCAGACAAATAGAGGTTATTTCTGTGCATAGCCAGGTATGTTCCTCTATTGATTGCATTGTTCCCATATACTGCCTGAAGATACCATTTCCGAATGTAATGATTATAATGTACATTTTTGTTTTTTTTATAGGGGGATGAAATTGGTCATACTGCCCACCAATCTTTGGTCTGAAAACTAACGGTTTCTTGTCCTCTGAAAAGATCCCTGAAACCTGGTTCAAATTTCCCAGAAGCACATTTTAGCCATCTTGTTTTTTCCTAACTAGCATTTAGGCTTCCTTGGCCTAAATGTTAACCTCATTTCTCTTTTAAAGATTTATCCCTAGTTTAAACTATAAAATAAACAAATAAATAGAGTGCAGGACCTTCTTATTTGCTAATGTGCTTTTATAAGAAATACCATGAATGGTGAAATTCCAGGCCCTTCTTAAATGTATCTTTTCCTTTGGGTTTGTTTGAAATGTTCTAAATTTCTATTTAGTTTGTGATTGGTTGTTCAAAATGGTGCCATGTCTTGGGCACTAGATGATGGACATTTAATATTATTCAATACTACCTTCGATATATATATTATTCATTACGCCTTACATTTGCAGGTTCTTGCCCTGGTTGGTGATCAACTTGATTATGGAGATAATGTTTGTGGTGCAGTGCTGAGCATTCGCTTCAACGAGGATATATTGAGTGTATGGAATCGTAATGCGTCAGATCATCAGGTTTGCTATTAGTAATCGCACCGATTTTCCTATTTCGTCTCTTCCTTTCGATCTCTTCAGAAGTTATTGATCATGTTTTGATTGTGCCAGGCTGTCATGGCCCTAAGAGACTCGATCAAACGTCACTTAAAGCTTCCGCACAGCTATGTAATGGAGTACAAGCCCCACGATGCTTCTTTGCGTGACAACTCGTCATATCGAAACACGTGGTTGAGAGGTTAGACGGGCACTTGAAAAAGGAAAACAGTTAGACCGTCGAACGTCTCAGCTTCTTTCGATGTTCCTTCACTAATCCTTTGTTTTGACATAAGAACCATTGTTGAATATCATGGTTGTGAGAAACCTTTTAAGTTGAACTATCAAATGATATCGTTTAGACGAAATCGATGTTTGTTTTATGGATATGTTTATATTCCTTCATCCATAGGTATCATAAAATTATTATTGCATATGTTATAGTGTGAACTTGGTTTTACCATTGCTAAATTTTTGTAGAAACCTCTTTTTTAATATATTAAAAATAACAAATTTAATATATTAAAAAATAATATGAATGCATATGGATAAAAAATATAACCAACCCAATATAAAGCGATTATCAACACTATTAGTAAAATTTTGTATAAATTATAATACTTTAAAAAACATGAAATGCAATATTTTAATGTTGCAGAATAAAAGAAAATATTTTATCAAATAAAGAAAAAACAATAATTTAATCATTATCATGTGATCCTTCAAAATAAATTTAATTCAACATCTTACTTCTCTCAAAATTAGCATCCCATAATTCTACATTAAGCCCTCTCATGCTTGTGTACAAAAGTTTTAATTAGTGTTTTTGATATATCTATATCTTGAAGTAATTTTAATATAAAATATGAAAGGGATATATATCACAAGCTCAAACAACACTTTAGGTTCATATTTGTACAATATTTTTTTTATAATAAATACCAAATACATAAATAAAAAAGATTCTGTTAAAGGAAAATACAGTTGGAAGATATATTATTAATGGGGACAAGGAAGAGGAAAATGAAAAAAAAAAAATCAAATGTTAAGCCACACGAGAACCGACAATGGAGCCGATCTAGTCGAACCCCACCATACAGTCGGCGGGATATCCAACAAACTCTTTAATTAATTTCTCCATTAATTAAACATTCTTTTGTCCTTCAATTCTCGTTTTTACTTATCTTTTCTACTTCTAACGTTTTCATTCATTTTTCTCTCTTCGTTTTCCTTATTAAACTTTTCCTTCATTTAATTCCGGTAGAAAAAAAGGGTTGTTTGAAATTTAGGGTTTGAAAAAGAGAAAAGAATGAGGGAGATTATCAGCTTTCATATTGGTCAAGCTGGGATTCAGGTTGGAAATTCTTGTTGGGAACTTTATTGTCTTGAACATGGAATTTAACCTGATGGGATGATGCCTAGGTGAGTATTTTATATGTACATGTTGCTGGAAAAAGAGTGAATTTCATTGATGGATTTAATATTTAAATTAAATTCATATCTCTTTTAAATTAATTCAACTTGTTCTTTTGCATGTATCATCATCATCGTTTATGTGTTGATTGAAACTAGTTGTTATCTTTATTAGTATTTGTATCATGGAAGCAGGATATTTGATTTGAATTGAAGTGAATGGTATAGAACTTGTATTGAAAATATTATAATTTTCCATTTCATTTCATTTTCAATTTTGATGCGGAACAAATTGTTTGTAATGTTTATGGTTGCCTGAAAATCTTATAGGGATAGTGTCATTTGGTTGAATTTTATGTATTGAAATGCAAATGATTTCCTTGAATCTACAATGAATGCTCATGAATCTAAATTGTATAGTATGGTTTGATAGCTGCAATTGCTTGTCAATTGTCGAAAACAGAGATGAACACGGAATGAGTGTCATAAATGTATCACTTTCTTCATTGTATTTCCGTCATTCCATTTTAATGGCAAGATTCATTTGTGTTTGCTTGCAATGACACAAGCGTAGGTTCTTACCACGACGCTTTTAATACCTTCTTTAGTGAGACTGGATCTGGCAAGCATGTGCCAAGAGCTATATTTGTTGATCTAGAGCCCACTGTCATTGATGAAGTTAGAACTGGGACTTATAGACAACTGTTTCATCCTGAGCAACTTATTTCCGGCAAGGAAGATGCTGCTAATAACTTTCCTAGAGGACATTATACGGGCGAGCATCTTTTCGTCTTGCAAATTACAATGATTTTATCAGATCTCTGACCAATGGCTTAAACTTCTTTTTCGGTATCATATGTTGCAGTTGGTAAGGAGATTGTAGATCTTTGCCTCGACGGAGTGAGAAAATTGGCTGACAACTGCACCGGTCTGCAAGGATTTTTGGTATTTAATGCTGTTGGTGGTGGAACTGGTTCAGCTTTGGTCCGTAGATTACGGAAAGAAGTCAAAACTTGGGTTCACTATCTACCCTTCTCCTCAGGTATCGTTGAAGACTTCCGAGTTTCATTATGCAATGAAACTATTATGTTCACAGTTCTCGGGCAACTTTTTATCCCGTTGTGCAGGTTTCTACGGCAGTTGTGGAACCTTACAATAGCGTGCTCTCGTCTCATTCTCTCCTTGAACACACAGATGTTTCTGTGCTTCTTGACAATGAAGCTATATATGATATATGCAGGAGATCCTTGGACATTGAAAGGCCAACTTATACCAACTTGAACCGCTTGATATCTCAAATTATCTCTTCTTTGACCACTTCATTGAGGTTTGATGGTGCCATAAATGTGGACATTACGGAGTTTCAGACTAATCTTGTGCCGTATCCTCGTATCCATTTCATGCTTTCATCATGTGCCCCAGTTATCTCTGCTGCAAAGGCTTACCATGAGCAGATGTCAGTTCCTGAGATTACAGGCGTCATCTTTGAACCCGCAAGCATGATGGCGAAATGCGACCCGAGACATGGGAAGTACAAGGCATGCTGTCTAATGTACCGTGGGGATGTTGTACCGAAGGATGTCAATGGTGCTGTTGCTACCATCAAAACTAAACGGGCAGTTCAGTTTGTAGACTGGTTAGTATCCATCTCTTACGTACAGGTCCAAAAATTACATATTAACAATTTGATTATCACTATTAGGTATAATTTTCCAAGGAGGATGTTTTGCCTTGAGTTTTGTTATTCAAATGATTGTGATGCGTCTTGTCTCTTAGGTGTCCTACTGGTTTTAAGTGTGACATCAACTATCAGCCTCCGACGGTGGTACCAGGGGGTGATCTTGCTCCAGTAAAACGAGCAGTGTGTATGATCAGCAATAACACCGCTGTGGCCGAGGTTTTCTCTAGAATCGACCACAAGTTCGATCTCATGTATGCCAAGAGAGCATTCGTTCACTGGTATGTAGGTGAAGGAATGGAGGAAGGTGAATTCTCGGAAGCCCGTGAAGATCTTGCTGCTCTAGAGAAAGACTATGAGGAAGTTGGGGTAGAAGGCGTTGAAGACGAAGAGGAACCAGAAGATTACTTGATCGCTTGTCGATGTACTTCATCTATTAGAAGAACACATAATTTCTTACCATTAGAACCGTAGGTAAAAACCCCAAAAAATTAGCAGAAAGGTGAGTATAATGCTGGAAGATCCCACAAGTTCGCAGCAGAATCATCGACGGTCTCCATATATTCTTGAACTCCATGCATTGCATAAAGGGGAGCTGAAATCTGCCTTTAAACTTTCATTCTTTGGAACTCTGTTAGCCCAGAACCCATGATTTCTTGAGTGTAAAGAAACCTGTCGAACCCTAATTCAGAAGAGGGACAAGTAAAATCAGTATCAAATCCCAATTCCCTTCTGCATTTGCTCATATCAGGCCTATATGCACCGTCAAACAAAATACGGTGAAGATGGTACATCTGGAAAAACAACAATTTATAACAGTTATAAAATCTATCATGGAATAATTTATAACATAATTATAATATTTTTAAAATTTGATGATTAATATAAAATGTTGACGAATGATGTAATTAATTTTTGGGTAAACTACATATTTAATACCTAAACTTATTTTGTTTTAGTACCTAACTTTTCATTTGTTTCAAAATCATACGTAACGTTTATTTTTTATTTTATTTTAGTACCTCGCCCTTATAAACTTAACAAAATTCCCTTTTTTATGCATAATTTATATGATTCACCACTTAACTATCTTTTCACTCCTATATTGGTCACTAAAGTTTAAAATATTTTGATTTAATTACTCAACTTTTAAATTGTTCATATTTTAATCACTATAATTTATTTTATTAATAATTTTTGTGACATGAGATTTATTATCATCATTATTAATTTATTAATATATAATTGAAAGTTAGAGTAATTAAATTATGAGTAATTTAAAATTTAAGTAATTAAATTAAAAAAAAATTAAACTTCAATGACTAAAATAGGAGCGAGAAGATAGTTGAGTGATGAATAATGTAATTTTTCCATTAAAAAGTATCATGTTGTAAACAAAAAGTAAATTTTAGCTATGATTTTAAGATAAATAAAAGTAAATTCGAAAGTTTAGATACTAAACTTATAGTTTACCCTTAATTTTTTAGTTATCTTAAAAGTAAATTCGAAAAGAAAACGGCTTCAACTTGAGCTGAGCTTCCGTTGCATGGCTGCTTAACAAATTAATATGACCAATAAAAGAAAATAAAATCACGTGAAGAGCACGAGCACAGCAGGGCAGGGCAGCGAAAAGGCATACATGATATAGAACCTACGCACAGTAATAAAAAAGCAGGAACCAACTTCCAAAAGCAGCAGTGCAAACATGTTCCCGCTTCACCCAATTCAATGCCTGTGATTTCCCAGTCATCTTTACACGTGAAAAAGCAACAAAAGCTCTTTAATATAATACCAATAAATCTTCTGTCTCCATTTCACCAATAACCTTATCATTTTATCCAACCATTTCAAATACAAAATGAAGCTCTTCTTCTTCCTTCTTCTACTTGCCATCCTTATACAGGTAAACTTCACCGATAATAATGGTTTTCCATTGCAAATTTTCCATCTGAATCTATCTATTAATTTCTTCTATGTCAGGCTTTGGTGCACGCTTCTGCATTTAGCAGCAATGCGAACTCTGTGACAAATGTGAGCCTTGTGTATTTGTTTTCATACGTTTTTCTTATATTTATAAGCATGAATATATACCCATTCTGTTGTAATTCAGATGAATGAAGCAAGTGTCATGGTGGGTCTCAACAAAAAGTATCACTATCACAAGAGAATCAGTAAGTGTTTTATTGTTTACAATGTAACTAAACCCTTAGTTATTGATTAGAACAGTTCAAAATGAAATGTGCAGATTGCAAATATGCATGCTCCAGGCGGTGCAGGAAGGCATCGAGAAAGAATGTTTGTTACAGAGCATGCG